ACACTATATATATATAGTGTCACAACCCCTGGTATGCCCAAATATGGGAGGAAGGTCACTATATATACATATATACATACACACACACACACACACACACACACACACACACACACATCACATTTTCAACCACCCATCTCGCCAAAAGGGGACTATTATGGGCTGTATACAATAAAATGTTAAAATATATGCTTATTATACTTATTTATTATAAGCAACCTGGAATTAAGGAGAAACATCCTAACAGTGAGGACAATTAATCAGTGGAACAGCTTGTCTTCAGAAGTGGTGGGTGCTTCATCACTGGAGGTTTTTAAGAAGAGACTGAACAGTCAACTTGTCTGAAATGGTATAAGGTCTCTTGCTTGAGCAGGAGGTTGGGCTAGAAGACCTCCAAGGTCCCTTCCAGCTCCATTCTGATTGATAAAAACAGCATATAAGAATTCATTTTTTTAAAAAAAAAATAGAGTTTAGAAGGAGCAAGGATGGTTAAACTCTGATAAAAATCAGTTTAAAAGGCCATGGGAGGGGTCTCAAGGTGTATACCAGCCTTATAGCTATGTGCTCCTCTAGGTTCCCTATCTGAGGGCACAGACAGAGCCATGTTTTAACTCCTTTTTGGAAGGCCAGGAGAGTGGGGGTGCCCATTTCACCTTGCAGAAGAGAATATTTCCCAGAGCAGGGGTAATGACAAAGAAGGCTTTTTTCCTAGACCCTGCCAGTTGGAATTTTTTAACTTAAAGGATATGCAGCATACCTTCCTTTCCTCATCATGTGAGACAGGCTGATGTAATGGAGCAATGATGATTCCATAGATAGCCTGACCCCATGACATGTAGGGCTTTATAAGTCACAATCAACACCTTCAATAGCAAACTGGTACCTAATGCAGTTTATGGAACAAAGGTGTTACATGTATCCTTCCTTGGGCATCTGGAATTGTTTATGTGGCCACATTCTGCACCAGTTAAAGCTTCTGGATACTTTTCAAGGATAGCCCCATGTAGAGCACATTGCAACAGTCCACACAGGAGATAATCAGGACATGAATGATCGGAGAGCTTCCCTATCCAGAAAAGGGTATAACTGGTGAATAACATGAAGCTGAGGAAAGGCCCTTTTAGGTAGCCCTTCTAGCTCTTTTGAGAAGGAGCCATGAATCCAGAAGGACCCCTAGGTTGCAAACCAGGTCTGTCTGGGGTAATGCAACCCCATCCAAGACCAAAGATGATTAATTCCTGGAAGAAGGGTCCACTCACAGTCACTCCATCGCACCAGTTGAATGTTGTTTCCTATCCAGGCTCCCACAGCCTCAGACACTGCAAAAGAATGTCTACATCATCATCATCAGACCTCTAGACTGGACTACTGCAACGTGCTCTACATGGGGCAGCCCTTGAAGAGCATTCGGCGACTTCAGCTTGTCC